TCAATAATAAGGATGATCGACATCCAACCAATATTCCAAATTTGTTAAGGATTTCGTGAAGCAGCAAGGTACTGGATGGTTTCAGCATTTTCCTTGTCGATGCGAGACGTGGTAGAGCGGTATGACTTCCAGGTTATCACGTCCATTTCTCAATGGCATTACACAATGTGATTCGCAGATGCAGGAATGTATTTATCAATATTTAACGAAATCTGATAAATTTGGTACAGGACTTCATTTGACTCCAAGGGGGCCTACAGGATCAGCGGGACCCATATGGACTTCATGGATATCCCTGGATAGTAATTCACAAGATTCGCAATACTTTGTCGCACATGAAATGTCTGACCACTATTACCTCACTCTTGCGTCCCGATGTTTCATGAGGATGGTGATGCAAATTGGAATTCCCCATACAAGAATACTAAATTGAATATTTCTACAAAAAATGTGTTCAGTCTGAGCCTGTAATGAGGTGTGATACTGGTGTGTCAGGAAATGGTGAAGGCTACTGCTGCAAACAGACGAATAAAATATTGACTTTTCGCAGATTTTCATTGTCACTGCTCGCACCGAAAAAATCGATAAAATATTGGTACTGAAACCATTATACTAGTATGAACACATTTGCGAGTCGCTTCGTGGAATGCTCTTAAGTGGTTCTGACATGTTTCAATACGCGCCTTGGTAAGTAATACACCAGCGATGCACATGTGCGGAATGGTCACCTACGAACATACACGAAATAAAATATATTTGATTCAGATACCCAATTGCGCCAGTTGGTTATATGAATCATCCAGAAAAAGTATGATCTCTTCACTTTCGCTGCACATTGTCACACATAAGTGAAAGGACTGTCGTTATGAAAAGCAATGGACATCTTTCTGAATCCGTCCAGGCCTAAGTCTAAGACTCCCGCAAAATCACATTTTTATCCTAGGAAGACGGAGGACGGAGAAAACGGAGACGAAGGGAGTGTGAATCGAGGGCGGCGAATCAAAGCACGCTATACCAGGATTCAGTGACCGAGTGATTGAGTGTTCCACTTCTCGTAAAGGTGAGGATCGAAACCGGGTAGCGGCGTACTCTTTTTTCCGCCAAGAAGATACACCTCTGCTTTCAAGAAGCACTTACTTATTGGATTGAGACACACCCCTCTTCGTGTCACATCCATGAAAAACGACTGCAGTGCTGCTGAGAATTCTCTCATTCCAATCAAAAGCCTAGGAAGCATGTCGACTTTATTCATGGCGCGCCTGAATTTATTGAATATAGGTTTTTTACCTAGTCCATTGCATAGAAAGACTTTGTTTTGTAGTCCTTGCCCGTAAACTAAGGTAGCAAATACCTAGCGGCCCGGAAATGACCCCCCCCCCCCCCGAAATTCAATGAATTCTGAGACACCCTGTATGAGGCACTCAACGAGACTCTGGAGGGGCGCCATCCTTAATAGTCTGACATCGTTTATGGTTGCACATGACAAGCAGACATCCCCTCCCTCCCAGTGAAAAGCCTCTGGTATGTTTCCCTTATTAATACTAGGAGTAAAATAGGATTGATGGGCTCTTCGTATCATACAAGAATCGCCACCAATGGGATACAGGTGGAGTCGACTCAGATTTTCGCAAAAATCTTTCTCCAAAAGATATATACCACATGAGACTCATGAAGGTTGCATCATGTTCGAATAGTCTTTGCTTTTAAAGTATTTGGTAATTACAAATGATTCTCCTGGTAAATTTGAGCAAGTCGATAATAAAAACAGTTTTTTTTTGGAAATGAGCGAATCTCTACGAAATTGAAATAGAATCTAAGTATCCTTCTATAACTCCTCCACAGTAACGATGAAATGGCTCATCGATTTTTTGACCCTGGAAGAAAACAAGACAGAACAGGTTCACACGTGGATTTTCATTATTTTACTTCCGTTTATGGGAATACTAGGGAAATTGTAATGAAGGTCGTCGATCTCTTCAGTATTCTAATATGCGGAGTGAACTATACTGGCGTCAAAAATAAACGTCACAAGGTAATTCAGAGCTCTGCGTTTTCCATTTTAATACATCTGATAAAAGCCTAGTTAGGCTAATAGGTTTGGCTGTTTTCTGCCTTTTCCTTCAAATTTGACGAATTTCTTTGTAATGGGAATATTTTGTTATCTACTCGTGACATCTATAAGAAAGAATAACACCCTAGTTTCCATATTCACACGAAAGGCAGAAAGCAACGAACATTTCTCGCGAAGTCATTAAGTGAAATGGCTTCAGATGCTAGATCAGCATTTGATTTCAAGAGCCGTTCTTCATGCTGTGGTGTCTTTCTCAGTTCTATTTAATGAAAAGAAAAAAGTTCACCAGGCCCTCACAATGAACACGTTGAGTTTCTTGTGGCGAAAAGAGAATGATTTTGTGTAGGGCATCGCATTTCCACAATGTAGTTTCGCGTTTCCTCACTTGATACTTGGGGCTGGTGATGAACTGAGAAGGCGTGAAAGTATGCAAGGGCTCCTCGGGATCCCATTGAAAATGAGGCAGTAACTGTGCTCTGTTGATTTATTTGGCATTTCAGCAGATGTATCAGCCGTCTTTATCATACGACACCTACTCTTCCCTATAGAAATGATGTCTTCCAGCGTTGCCGCCCTAAGTCGCAGTGGGAAAGTGCACATGCCTCAGGTCAAGTGGCAAAATGAGAATGTGGGCATAATCGAAGTACTCAACTAGATTTGGGGAGGGATTAGAGCCAGTCCAGGGTTGTCAGATCAAAGAGAAGGAATTACGAATTCAATATTTAACGCCTCGTTCATTAAAAAAATGACATGGGATTGGGAAAAAAAGATGGAGCTGTTGAGCGACTCCAGAGAGGAAGTTCGCCTCAACAGGATTTGCGAATATTTTCCTGAATGTGGAAGTCGTCATTGTTCTCTTCTTCATCTGTTGACTCATCAAAATTACGGATTTTCGCGATCGTCGGCTCGAGGCCTTCGTCGATACGAGTGTCTGTCGCTAGATAGTTTGATTCCTCTGTCTTCGCTGAGGCGCGTGTATTCGGATCCTGCAACCCTGACTTCCCATGGTCCCATTCGAGCCCAGAACACCTAATAGGGCATCAAAAACTCCTACGAGTGGCTTGTTATGGCCTTTTGTTTGTCTATCGGGTCATTCCATCCGCTTTCCTTCGTAGAGATAGCAACTACGCACGCAAACGGTGGATGGACTAAACTTCCTCTTCTTGTTCACTTCGGTATGTCGGGCCAAGACTTCAAAAAGGCGACAGGAAGTCTAGAGAAATAAAGGAAATGATAAAACCACTGCCTTGAAGTGGCCACATTGTATCTGGGTATCTTTCCCACAGAGATAACCATATAAGACATTAGTGAAGGTTCGCTCCAAATCCTAGGTCTTTGCTTTGAAATAACAATCCCCAGTTGGAATCATGGTTCCTATGGTAATTTTGAGAAATTACTCGAAATATGAATTCACAGAGGAACAAGAGCCTCATCTCTATGCACTGCTGACACTTGACATTTGGTCTGTGGTCGTCGTATCTCTCTTTACCTGATAGGTGAAATCCCTTGGCACTATGGGTACGTGGTTATCACCCGCAAAGACTTCCGTGCCTGCAATATGCATATGCCTTTGGTTACTTCCCTTGTAGGGCTTCCACCTCTTACTCATGCAAATTAGCCCCTGTTTTCGTCACAAGGACAACTAGACCAACGCAACATAATCGTCTATTAGGTTGGATGATCTTTAGTAACTGAATCATTGTTGCTCTTGTCATGGCATTCCAGGGAGAGGGAAGGAAGAGATATGCTTTTATCAGGAATACTGAATTGCTCTAGAGAATTTATTTCAGAGGGAGAAAGATAAGGAAGCTCAGAAAATATTATTTCACTGCAAAAGAGAATCCCGTAGTTCTGATTCTGGAGTGGTCTGACTCTTCCGTCTCTTTCCCAACCGTGAGGATCCTTTATGTTCGAATCACCACTCTTACTGCAGCAACGCATTTGGAAGGGAAAGACGAACACTTTAATGCTTCGGACAGGTTTCCAAGAGAACAAACCAGATTAGATCATGCTTGCCAGGTATCATTAAGAACTTTTCATATAATATCTCCAGAACACGCAGTAATTATCCCACGGATGGCTAGCACGCAATATGAAATGCTTGCAACTATAAAAGTCCAATACTTGAACCTGGAGCAAGTTAAGTCGGAGTTTAAACATATGACGCATACGAAAAAATGCATTCGCTGTCAGATAATGCCCTGTTATCATATGTCTACCTACGTCTCTTTGGACTTTAGCGGCCAAACTGCTGAATATTGAACACAAACATGCATTCCTTAGCTTCCAAGCATTTGTCCTTTCAATGTAACAAGTTTTTTTTCCCAATTATCCACATATTAACAAGAATCGAGTATTTGTGGTTTAAGACAATAGTGTCGATAGCATTCTCTGAGATAATGGACTCCATTAGCTGTGCATATCGACTAATAGAATAAAAATATTCATAAGCGTAAACATAAGGGCCCTTTTATAATGTTTCCGAATATCCATCCCCAAATAATTGGTTTACAAAAATAATTTCCTGGGAAACTCTCTTCGTCATCTTCTGGACATGGAAAGTGACATTCTGTGCCATAGATAGATGCCATAGATAGATCAGGTAATCACTATCACAGGTAAAATATATTCTGACATCATCAGGAAGGAATTGCTGCCTGTCCTGTAAAATAAACTGCACCAGTTAGGCCATGGAATGCTCTTGGCACTCTCGCCCACACAACCACACGATAGCAACCTTCGCTGAACCCGGGCTGAGCCAAGGTCGTATTCTCCCGACGGTCTGGACTTCGCCAGACTCTTCTTCGAAGAGAATCATCATATAGGAGTCACAAAGTGGCGTAGGCAGAAAAGTTAGGGACAGACGCAAAAAGGGGGGGGGGGGTTGAGGTGGTTAGACCCTCCTTTCCTACAAAACTGTCACAAAGTCATGATGTGCGTCTTTTGGTAACAATGGAATATGGATGATTTTTTATCGAATATAGAGAATTTTGCAAGGGACATATTAGGGGAGAGAGGAAAGAATTCACAGGCTCTGCGAAGACCCTTCTCTTCGGATATTCGTAATTCAACGCCTTCAAATGCACGTCATGGAAGTCGGACGAGGGTCTGGCCAAAGTAGAAGTGTTGGACATGGTTTTCCACGCGTCTGCATGATCACATTTTATTTTCCGCTTCGCACACGACAGGTATCAAATGGACGAGCATGAGAGGGCAGAGGACCACCACGAGGAGTTACTTAAGAAATGTACCAAGATCAAAGACAAAGACTTCCCAACTTATCTTCTTCCATTCGAGCCGATCGCAAATAAGACTGGTCGATACCAACTGGGTGAAGGCAAAACTGGCAAAGATTGTCTCACGGTTCTGCTACTCGGCTTAAAAGGATCAGGTCACCTCTCACTTCCTTCTGCATGATTTCCTTGATGAAAATTCAGACATATCTTTACCATAATTTGCGGTGACAGGGAAGTCGATGCTGCTGGAAGTGCTGGGGAATTACGGACTTGGAGTGGGACTCCACGATCCCCATAGGTTCCAGATGAAGAAGGAGGGACCCACAGACGAGATCTCCTCCTACACTTTTTTCACCAGGGACCGTCAAAGATTCCCTCGTCCCGTCACCCTCATCGATACCCCAGGCTTCCATAAGGGGCAGCCTGAAGAGGATCAGAAGTTGATGGACGCCATCTGTGATTTCGTCTGTCTCCATCACAAGCATGGCGTGAACGCCGTTATTTTCGTAGTCCCAAGCTCTCAGGTAGCTTTAGCTCTCCTCATTATGCCTCATTCTAGTTTTTATCATTGAATGCGCTTTATTCTGAACGCTTTCACGAGAATTCTTCGAAAGAAAGTAAGTCCACTACTTGTTTCCTCAATTGAAATTCAAATAACTTTCGTCACTTCAAGTCTGGGTGCCTGCTGCAGATGATCTTGAAAGGTTCAGCCACTCATGCATTGGAACTTTGACAGAGGTCGACTCCACAGATTTTAATTTAGTGAACTCCTTCATGAATATTTTGTATTTTTCCTCATGCCCAGAATTACTTTTCCCAGGCATATTTTGCGTTAAGGATTCTTATTTTCTGAGAATGTTACTGTTTCTGGGAGCAGGGGAGATTAACAGCAGAACAGACGATGGTGTTGCGAAACTTCTCCAAAGTCTTGGGAAACGAAGAGTCTCGTGAGATCTCCTATCTGTTCTGTACATTCGCGGACAGCAAACGCCCCCCCGTCCTACGATCCGTAATGGAAGCCGGCTTGCAATTCAAGAAGCATTTTCCCGTCAACTGCTCTGCCTACTTCGTCAAGGAGGAAGTGGACGAAGAAGATGACTCTTCCATAGAAGACACCGAGGAAAAGGGGATGGAAACGAAAACGATTTCCATCAATGAACTGCTCTGGAAGATGACCACGGAAAGGATTCATAAGTTCTTCGAGAACATTAAGGAGAACCGTCTCGTTCAGGCCCGGAAACGGCAAGGCCAAGCAGGAGGAAAAGAGTACGGAAGGAAGGGAGTGGGCGTGGAGACAGGAACATCTGCCAGAAAGACAGGTAATCCTCAATTTCTGCAATCCCTTTAATAGGTTTGCTTCCTTGCAACTTCCACTGATATCAGTGCTCGTATGACCAGCTCAAGCGGACGGAGAACCCATTTCCTTGCGAAGCTCGAAGAGTGTGGAATCCCGCCATCCCACAGATGAGATTTCTTCACAATCAACTGGAGAAAATTCATTTTCCACCTACAACCGCGGCATCAACGAACGGTTGGTACTCGGACTCTCAATATCCGTTGGTGTTAAGAGTTGAATTAGTTCAATTCTGGACCTTTCCACGGGAGTTTGTGGGAGTGAGATAAGAAGCTGACGACTAGAAAGCCGCTCAGTTCGTAGAATAACGGGCATGTCAATACCATAAAAGGGAGGATGACTACCGGAAACCATAAGAAAGAAGAGAATGTATCACGATCGCCGCTAAGGTGAAATCTGTTGGTATTCGCTCATGTTACTTTACTACGCATCCGCACGTGCATGGTATATGCTTGACTTCTTTCTGATTCATATTACATGCAGCTTGTTGACTCCGTGGTCCAGCGTTTCCTCTTGGTTATGAGCGCTTCAAATATTTCGCGGTAGTGGATGGAATTTCTAGTAGAAGTAGATAAGGAACATTGCTATTTCAGGGGCTCCGCGGAACACGGAGGTGCATCGCCTTCCCAACCTATTCTCAAGGAAGCGAAAGAAAAAAAGAATAAAAGGAAACTATGGATGGCTGAGGCTCCTCGCAGGCTATTCGCCCGATTCCCGCACAAAAATGGAAAATCCGGGGGCGATACTGCCAGATCCACAGTAGGTCTCCAGGATCGAGAAGTTCCTGTCAATCCTGTAGATAAGAATGATGAATTTGAGGTGCGAGAAGGTCGGCCTCCCAGTGTCATAGTAAGCGAAATTCTCTACAGGGTGCGCACTAAGTCACGTTACCATAAATTGAAAATTGGAAATTGGAAATCCGCATCACTGAAAATAACATTATTTAAATATAGGTTTTAAATTACATCATGAGTATACAGCTAATGATCACTTATGAAATAGGCCAGTATGGGCACCGTCTTGTTCGTCGCACAGAAAAATGTACCATCATAATGTAATAATGTAATATTGCCCTTGTCTTGTCAGTGTGGGGTCTCTCGTGAGTCCATGTGCTGACTACTATCCGTTCTTCAATGGTATAATTATTGGCGTCTGGCAACTTTCATTGCTAAGGTTACATTTGTTAATTTGAAATGACAGCAAAAAAATGCTAGGGGTAACAGGACTTCCTACCTACCCTGTACATAAGCAAACGAAATTGCACCCTGTTTCGGTTTTAATTAACACGAGTGTCAATTTAGTTGCAATTATTAAGAGACTGTGTTTACTTGGCAAAGGAAAGAGGGAAAGTTATGCCCGAATGGTCTTCGTCTTTGGCCTGCGTGCAATTATTCCAGAGCCTGAAGAAAGAGTTTCTATTTAACAACAGATTCCTGAGTAGGAACATTCACCCTCTACCTGTTAACTCATAATTCAATGTTGTATTTCAATAGCACCAAGGAGAAACGCATGGGATCCAATATATGGATCCCAATGAGCGGAATCCGCAGCAAACCAAATCACCTGGCATCGAAGGGGCTTTAACACGGCCCATCGAAGCGAAGCACATCAACACTGCTGACAATTTCCAAGAAGAAGAGGAATTCAAGTTGTACGCTTTGCGCCTGGCACGGATTCTGAAAAGTCTTCATCCCGAAAGCAAGAAAATCGCAAGACAGGAAATAGAGAACTTGTTATACCGAATTGAATTCGGCAGTCGCTCTCCCTCTAACCCTTAATGCTCAATCCTTGCATCTTACTTTCTCTGTTTCGAGCACTTCACACGAAATAAACCGTTTTTATGGCTTTGTTTTGGATTAGGCTTCCTCAGCCCGGCAACAAAAAGCTCGTCCAGCCAGTTACCTTGGGTCACTTTGTGGAAATATTTATGATGAAAAATTGAAAATTTCCGAAAATCTGTTTCAGTGTTCGAAAAAAGGAATATTCCGTCCGTTAAGACTCTAGCCAGGAAATGGTCTCATGAGGTTTTCTAGCAGTGAGAATGCATCATCAGTCACAAACGCAAATGGTAGAAGAGCTTTTTCATAATCGATTACATCCCTTCCAGGAGTGAATTAAAATGTCAGTTTCGGATAGCAGGTCGAACACACCCTCGATGAGGCTCTTCCTCGCACAGAACGTGGCTCCATCGCATTTATCGCCAAGTCCGCCCATGTACAGGGTGCCCAAAAAAATCTGGACCCCTGTCTTTCAGGTTTTTTTTTCATTTTTACATTTTGCAAGACTGAACAACAAAATTCTTGGATGCCAATTTCCATCTATTTTACGCTTTCAATTAAAATTTGCCTACATTTGGACTAAGGACTGTAGAGAAATTAATTTATTTCGAAGTGCACTCTGAATTTTCACTACTCAGAACTAAAGTGCTCTTGAAGGAAAGCTCTATCTTCGCAAATATTCCAAGGCGCCCCTTTATTTTCAACGACACTTTCCGATCTGTTTCTCCAATGATCAATCGCGCGATTTACTGAATGCTGGCGCTTGCGATCATAGCCGCCTCTTCTATCAATCCTTTACAAAAGGAAATTGAAACTGGAGATGCATCAGTTATTATCGGTGAAATTTTCCACTATTTTCTTTGCCTGCAGCGTTTTAAATTTCTTTAGACCGTTACTGGCTGTTCTGTCTTACTTTGAAATAGGCATCTGGAAAAAATGTTCTGGGGCAAAAATTAAGAGAACTAATCAAGTACAGCTAATATGGGGAAAACGAATAAATATGTCATTAAACTGTGAACGTGTAACTTCCAATGCGCACATTTTAAAATTATTTTTCACACTTTTAGCACTTATTGAAATGCAACCTTGCTCTTTTTAGGGTGCTATATGACGCAAATTAGTCGCCTTAGCGGATCAATTTCCGATACAGCTGGAATTAGTCCCCAATACCTTCCACACTAAGCCGATCTTTCTCCACATAAACCATAGCGGAATATACTCGAATTCTTGAATAAATCCATCTTTAAAGGTAACCCAGTCCTAGGAGTCTCCAGAGAACTCTGGCTCGGGAGATAGAGGGACGATGGTTCAACTTCCAATATGATTTATTGGAAAGAGAATGAAACGGTGAAGTTCTAAAAGGTCATCCCTCCTACGAAAAGGGGATTTAGTGAAGGGCGTGTTTGATTGCTCCCAGTTTGCAGAAACACGTTGACTTAATGTTGATATGTTGACAATGCTGAGAGGGTGTTGATGCTGATGATCCAATGCATAGTCAACATTACATGAACATATTTCGGGCGAGAAATCTAGCGAGTCATTCGAACGAAGCTTTCCTGATCCCGATGTGAGGTAACGCCAAATCACTAATAGTGATTTACCTCGTATATGCAACTGGGAAGCGTCCCCAGTACTTTCGTAACGGTACTTTATATTTTCTTCAAAGACAACACTGGGGAAGGTATTTGAATTTCTAGATACATTCGACGAAAGAGGCAGCACAACCCAACGAGATCCTTGGTAATACAGGCCCGGGGAACGGAGAGAACAAAGTTCACGTGTTGATCTTTCTCCATGAGGTTCACTTCGTGTGACTACGAAAAACTAAACCTAAAAATCTAAACTATACCTAGGTATATAAACTAGCCGACCCATCGAAAACTTTCAAAAGCTCTTGCGCCAGAACCCCTTGGATCAGTCGCGGCCCAAAAACTCAGTGACCCTTCATCGCTCTAGGCTGCAGACCCTCTCTCCCAACATTTACACGTCCCCACGTACAACCCTTGGAGTCCTCTTTCATCACGCTGAAGGAAGGATGATTTCCTCGCTGGGGTGAGATCTTCGACCTTACATTCATCGAAAGCCCAGCCTTTTCATTTATCGGCACTTTTTCCTCTCGATCACAACCCTGTCCGTTTCGTCCGTAAAGTTCATCTCCATAATTTTCCATGTAAGCCTATGAGTGCAATATACGGATATGGAAACGGAATGGTCACGACACGACCGGCGGCATCTTTGCGATCCAAGGATAAGCCATTCTGTTCTATCCCACCCAAATGGGATCCCGCCGCTTTCACACTCGGAAGTTACTCTCCTTCGCGCGAAAGAACACGGGACGTGTTGTACGTGGGTTTTCCCGCGTGAAAGTTCATATCGAGGCGTGAACATTCCTTAGTTGGGGGAGGGGGGGGGGGGTTGGCACAAGGCTTACAATGACTCTCTCTCCAATTCTCAAGAACAGATCAGACAGTCGCAAAAAGCCGGAAAGAACATGCGAACTCGAGAGCGTGAGCCGGGCGCTCCAACCTGTCTTCCATTAACTGTTTCTCTGGAATTCCCGAGCTCAGTCAGCAGTCCTAAAACTCAGCGGTCCTCTCAATGATATGAGGAGCACCCGCTCTATCCCGTTCTCGAGAATGACCTGTGGAAGTCTTCCACGAACTTCGGGTCGGTCTAAGCCAGGGGTGTCAAACTGCCGGCCTGCTACTTGTTTTCGTCCGGCCTGCAAAATCCTCTTCAACAGTTGGTTTTTAGAAAAGTATAGACTTTTTCAACCTGTTTGCAAATGAAACTTTGGTGAAAGACTTTCTAATGTGGACCCAACCATTCTTGAAGGGTTCAATCTGGCTGCCAGCTTAACCAAGTTTGATATTTCTTGTCTAGGCTGAGTGTGTAACGTAATCGGGGTCGCCAAAAGGAATTGTGAGGCCTGGAGCGATAATCACACGAGGACCTCCTTTCCACTCTTCCCCTCTCCCTCCCTCTTCAAACACACTCGGTCAACTCTGCTCCAGTTGCCCACAAAACAGTCGCCAATGTGCGAATGCGGCCCACCAATCCAAACAATTGAACATATCATCAACGAATGCCCATTGTATTCATTTCCTGGAGGCATCAAGGACATACACACAACCACTAAAAACGCTTGACTGGATTTCAACGATCAACATCAATTTCTAATAGTCGCTATTCCCATACGAAACAAGTCAACTTTTCATTGCTAACGAAGGCTACGCTACTAAAAAAAAATAATACGTATATCATCTGGTGTGAGGCAAGAGACACGGGGCATAATGCCCCTTTCCCCCCCCCCCCCCCCCCCCTCCCCACACTCTTTACGGTCCTGAACATAGTCGGGAATCCACGAGTTCAGTCAGCACTTGAACATTACGCGGTTGCTGTTCTCTCTCCCGTTCTCGAGGACGAATCCAACATATGAGCGAGACGGAGACCCGAACCCATGGAAGACATCCACGAATTCTGGGTCGGCCTAGGTTAAGCGTCTAGCATTTTCGGGTATTCACGAGTTCAGTCGGCGACCCTATCAATGCTCTACGCAGCAGCCGCTCGGACATTGTACGACTTGCACAAACCACCCCCCCCCCTTTCCAACGGGGGTATTCACGCCTACGATAAGAACTATTAATGAGTGGCACTCGTATCCAGTATCGATCGCGACGCTGTGCGTATCGTCCGTGAAGCCCAGCTCCACCACTACTCATGAAGACCTGCGAGTGAAAAACACGAATAGAGAAACGGGATGGTTACTACGCGGCCGATATCGTCTTTCTGATCCAAGAATTAGCGCTCCTGTTCCATACAGGTGGGATCCCTCCGTTTTCACCTTCGGGAGTCACTCTCCTTGTGAGAGTGCCGATGCAATATGAGGATGGGGTTCCGATTGATAAAGGGGTCGGGATCTCGATTAATATATGGAAGGAGATCTCATCCGGGGGTGAGGAGGTCATCCTTCCTCCAGGGATGAAAGAAGACTCCAAGTGTAATACGCGGGACGTTTTACACGTCCCTGTGGAAAAGTCCGTATTATATGTGTGAACACCCCCTTATGTTTTAAGACATTGACTGCCACTTCAGCCACTCGTGGCTGACACTAAGAAGTTCTTCCCAAGCCGTGTCAGCCACGTGTGGCTGACGCTCAACTCCAAGCTACTTCGACCCGTTTTGGTTGATGCCGGTATGCATTTTGCTTAGCAATTCGAAGGCTTGGCCTCAAGCGAATAATAATCAACATGATGTTGACCTCTATGGGACATTGATTTACTATATTCTTGGAAAATGAACTTAGTCGATAAGAAAGGTGGTTTGTCAGGCATTACGTGCACATTGGTTGGTTGTTCTGGACAAACTACCCAGTATATAATATACTGTATAAAATATAGTATATACTCTATAATATACAGTATATTACTCTTCTTCCAGGCTTGTTCATATTCCAAATCTTCTTTCAGACGTGAGTGACACAAATGACATGCTTTCTTGTTACTGATTTTGGTCAATTTCTTTCCTTCCAAATATTTTTCAGCAAAACTGGTGAGTGGGAGAAATCATGACCTTCCGTTTGTTCTGTTAGCGACAAGCTTTGAAACCTATCATCTTGTTTTTCACGATGGAGTATTATTCTTCAAGTGAATCAATCATCTGTGCGAAGGTTGAAGAGTTTTATGCCATAGTTTGGCCTTTTGATGGCATATACTGACAAAATGACAGACTACCAGGTCATGGTACCACTGATTCAGTAATGACGATCGGGTTCTGATCAGGTCTCTTGGTAATTATCCCCCAGAGCATACAGTAGAAGTCAAATCTTGTCAATGCAATCGCCTTTTCAACATTTCTATTATCATAGAAATGCACCATACAAAGGAGTAGTTCAATCCTGTCCCTCGCAAGACCCATTCAAGTTAGCAGGCTTGAGTACTTCCTAGATCAGTCCAGTCAGAATCTGTCCCAGTTTTTCGAAGAGATTACGGTGTAACAGTGTTACATTTAAGAATTTTCTGGGCAAGGCAGTTAATATCTCTTATATCGAGATTCAGGACTTCATTGAGAAGATCATAAGCTTCAAGTGGACTGAATATATCATGATCAACAATCAACTTTAGCACATAGCATTGAATCGACGTAAAAGAAGCATCGCACCAACACCCGGACGTTAAGTCAGCATTTAATAGATTTTGATTCAATTTTTTGTGTTACTGGGGTCAAAGGTGTCTGTGAAAGAGAAAACTTTCTGAAAAATAGATAACATGGTGTTTGTTCCTGAATATCCAGTTCCAACATCATTACTTGCTTCTCAATTATCGATTGTCTTAATCATGTTGCTGATCGTCCTCATGCACACTTCCGTCACATCACAACCTCTGTCAATTCTCAGAATCACTAAGATCAAGAGGTGGTGCGAAAGAATTTGACTGGACGTTTTTATTCAACTGATAAAATAAATCGACAAAATGAGTGGGTTCATAGCCACGTCTCCTATTGGTGGTATACATGGCTACAAATGAAATATTTTGGGGTCAGACAATGTCAATCCATTATGGCTGACAACATTTTTTGGTCGCAAGCATTTTTACATGAAATGGTGTCTTGGTGTATTAAAACGCCAAAGTTCAAAGTCCACTAGATGCAGAGACATCCCTTTGGCCTGGTGGGATGCACTTTCCTTAGAAGGGCTTGGCAGTCAATGTGTTAGGGATGGCAAGGAGAGAGCCTAACGAGCGTACTTGGTTCGGTGGTGTAGTGGTGGCACGCTTGATCGGCAATTAGGAAGCCTCGGTTTCGATTCCTACCCGCTCCATGGTTTTCTTTCGTTCGTACCCGTCCGGCTATTACACTCTCAAAACAGTCGCAACGGCCGAAAAAAATGTGCTCGCCCGAGAGAGTGAGACGTGCATCCAGAGCTAGGCAGAAGGCGGCGCACATGGACTTGAGGACATGCAGGCGCCCAAGCATAATATACAAGGTATACCTCGTGTATACTGTAGGTTTTCGGTAGAGAATTCCCAAAGTTTTAAAAATGTCTGACCTACCCTCATACAATATGGTTAAATGCTACACCAGCTAATGTGAGAAGATCCGACATATACACGGACAACATGAAGATGAGATCTGCTCCGACCAAGAAAAGGCTGTGCAGATCGGAGCCCCATGCCACACCGTTCGCTTCGCCTTCCACGCCATTCAAGTGACTGGGGTTCAGGTCTCGGAGTTACCAAGGAACTGACTGGTCCTTAACCCCTGGAACGCCTATGGCACAGGTTCCAGCCGAGTGATCTGCGCCGGCCCCTCCCCCTTGGGCATCGGTCGTTGCCTGGGTTCTCAGTGGAATGAGTAACCGACTCGAGTGGCATGCGTCGGTTGGTTCAGAACTTCTCAGGACCCTGATCCAAGGTTCATGCTAGTCTGCCGAAGTTATATCAAGTAATGATGGAGGAGTTTGTACCTAGGGAATTCTTGGCCATATGGAATGCAGTTAAATCGATATATCCTCATTAACATCATCTCTACCTTAATTTTAGCGAGTCAGAAACTTTCAGAATAGCCTTTATTTTCCAAAAGCCCTCAGTATTCATTCGTCTGGTGTAAACAGAAACACTGAAATCCGCTAGCACTCTTTACATGGCGTAGATGGGACATATGCGTGACAATAAAATCCATGAGAGTTCTTCTCTCTCGTTAGGCTTCATCTGAATTAGTCCCTGTTTTCATCCCAAGGCCATTCAGACCAACGCAACTTAATCGTTATCACGACGGATGATCCTCAGTAGTCAAGTCTCTGTTTTTCGTGCCATGGCATTCCATGGTGAGCGGAGGAGATACGCTTTTATCGGGAAAATGGGACTACTCTAGTGGATTCATTCCTGAGAGCGAAAGATAAGGAAGTCCCAGGAAATATTAATTCTCCCCGACAGAAGAAGAGAAGCCCGTAGCCGTGGTGCCGAAGTGTTCACATTCTTCCGTCTCTTATCGAACCGTGAGGACCCTTTATATTCCAATAATCGTTTCCACAGCAGCGACGTATATGAAACGGAGAGGCGAACGCTTTCATGCTTCGGACAAGTTTTCAAGAGTGCAAAACAGCTTAGATCGCGCTTGCTAGTTACCATTAAGGACCACTTAGTGACTATTCCACGGATGGCCAGCAGACAATATTAAATGTTCCCATCAGGAAAAGCCCCATACTTGAAACTGGTAAAGCCTTTGGCTTACCAAACGGAGGTTAAACGCAGAATGCATGCGAGAAAATGCATTCCAGCATATAACAGCCTGTTATCGTATTTCTATCTCCATCTCATGGTGTTCTATCAGTCAAACCGCAGGCTGCTGAGTATTAACGTGTAAATCTTAGATTCCGAGCATTCATCCTCTTCATGTAACAAGCTTTCTCCAACGCATAATAGAATAATAGAACCATTTTTTTTGCAATGAATGGCATTTTTTGTTCGACCGCATTCTCTAAAGTGATGGACTCCATTAACTGCCTATATCGACTAGTAGAATAAAAGTATTCTTAAACATACCTAGAACCCTTTAGACTATACTAGACTAGACCCTATACCCTTTAGAATGTTTCCGAATATCTACCCCCCAATAATTGGTTTACTAATTAAAAATCTACTGGGAAAGGCTATGCGTCATCATCTGAGACATGGAAGGTGACATTCTGCTGCATACGATACCTCAGGGGGTCACTGTCACAGGTAACACCTATTCAGTTATCAAGAATGAATTTCTGCACGCCTTGTAAAAGATCCAACTGGTAGTTCTAGCACGGAGTGCTCCTAGCACGATAACGCTGGCCTGTGAACACAGCCAACATCACGATAGCAGTCATCGCTAAACCCGAGCTGAGCCAGAGCCAAATTCTCATTTCGGTCTGGACTTCGGTCCTTGCTACTTTTTCCTGCCAAAGATCGATTACTTATTCCACGTTTCAGAGCCATAGTGACTAAGGGAAAGTCCATTTTACAAAAACTCGAAGATATGCTCAAATATGTTAATGCCGATGCTATTCGGATTCTCCGTCATAGATGGCAGGAGCGTGTAAAACTAAAGGGTGGTCCATGAAGAAGGAAGACTTTTCTCGTTGACATATTGCTGTGTACTAAGAGAGCGAAGTGTACCTATTCTCTGATAGATTATAGAAGTTTTATGTTTCAGAAACAATGGGATAATGCGCCATTTCGCCCTACCCTTGTGTGCTCACAGTGGACTGGGCATCTAAAAGTACAGCAACGCCTACACCTTCACCTTTGACTTTCCACAGTTAGAGGTCAAGCTGCATTTCTGAAAATAAGTGAAGAAACCATTCTCAAGGTTTTCCTTTCGGTCAGACCCCTTTTCATTCATAGAATAAGAGAATCATCACGTCATTTAAGTGACACAGTCGTGAGTACAAGGGAAGAACGAGGAACGTGTGAAATTTTTCAACAGTGTAAGATGCATCAATACTCGTGACCAACGGAATATAGCAAGGGAGATAGAATAGGAAATAGAATTTCCATACCCCGAAATGTCCCTTCATTTCGGGTTGTTAAGATTCATCACCTTCAAAGTGCGTGCTACTCACATCATGGACGTCGTCGGAGCCGCACAGGACCAACACAGGAGCTTTTGATTTACAGATTTCCACATTAGGGATGCAAAACTTTTTTATCAAAGGGCCGGAGAGTGATTCCTGAGCACTCATCGCGTGACAACCAGGGATTCAGGACAATCTTCTATGCGGTGGCATATCCTGTCGAATGGCTGTACTAGCGGAAGGATTTCATCCGAATGCGGGCTGGATGAAGTCCTTCTGCTGGCTGCAGGTCGTGCATCCCTGTACTACATGATCATATTTTCCACTTCGCTCACGATAGGTATCAAATGCAAGAGGATGAGAGGACAGAAGACTCCCTTGAGAAGTTGCTCGAGAGGTGTAGCAAGGTCGGAGACGGATACCTTTCGACTTACCTCCTTCCATTCCAGACCGTCCCTAATAAGGTTGGTCGATACCAACTGGGTGAAGGCGAAACCGACAGAAGATGTCTCACTGTTCTGCTACTCGGCTTAAGCGGATCAGGTCATCCATCTCATCATTCTAAATAACTCCCGCGAATGAAAGTCCAGACGTGCATTAACTTCATTTGCGGTGTCAGGAAAGTCGATGCTACTGGAAGTGCTGGGGAATTACGGACTTGGAGTGGAATTCCACGATCCTCATAGGTTTCAGATGAAGGATGGAGGACCCACAGACGAGATAGCCTCCTACACTTTTTTCACCAGGGACCGCAAAAGATTCCCTCGCCCAATCACCTTCATCGATACCCCTGGCTTCCTGAGGGGGAAGGGGAAGCCTGAGGATGATCGAAAGTTGATTGAAGACATCCGTGAATTCATCTGTCTCCATCACAAGCATGGCGTGCACGCCGTTATCTTCGTTATTCCGAGCTCTCAGGTTGATCTAGGTTTCCTAATTCTGCCTCATTCTCTCTCTATCATAGTCTTCACTTCATTTGAACCCCTTTCAAAATATTTTTCAAAAGAAGATAAAACAACTAGTTCCCTTATAAGAAACTCAATTAATATCAATCACTTGAAGTTTTTACATCTGCAATAGGCGACCTATAAGGGATTAACCACTCATGCATTGAAACTTTCAGTAAAGCCCACTCGATATATTTTAATTTTGTGATCTCCTTCATGAATACTTTATATATTCTTCCTATGCTCGGGGGGGGGGGGTTTCCGAGGTATCTTTTGCATTCAGGATTCTTCTTTTCTGACGATGTTACTGTTTCTGGGAACAGGGAAGATTAACGGCAGAGCAGAAGTTGATGTTGGAACACTTCACTAAAGTCTTGGGAAATGAAGCAACTCGTGAGATATCATACTTGTTTTGTACATTCGCGGACAGCAAGCACCTCCCCGTCCTAGAATCCATAAAGGAAGCACGCTTGGAGTTCAAGGGACATTTCCCCATCAACAGCTCTGCCTACTTCGTCAAGGAGGAAGTGAACGATGAAAATGATGAAGATGACTCTTCCATCGACGACGAAGGGGAAAAGGGGAGAAAAGGGAACAATGCTAATATCAATGAACTGCTCTGGAAGATGACCACGGATAGCATTCAAAACTTCATCAAGGACATGCAGGGGAACCGTCTCGTTCAGGCACGGAAACGCCAAGGCAGAAGTTCAGAAGGAAGTATCAATAGTTCAGAAGTTCCGTTCTCAGTTCCAGAAGGAAAGGAGTACGGAAGGAAAGGAGTGGGCGTGGAGACAGGAACACCTGCCAGAAAGACAGGTAATCCTCAATTTCTGCAATCCCTTCAATTGATTGGCTTCCTTGCAACTTTCATTGACACCAGTGCTCGTATGACCAGCTCATGCGGACGGAGAACCCATTTCCTTGGGAAACTCGAAGAGTGTGGAATCCCGCCATCTCCCAGACGAGATTGCTTCACAATCCACTGGGGGAAATTCATTCTTCGCCTACAATCGCGGCATAATCGAGCGGTTGGTACTCAGACTTTCAATATCCGTTGCTGGTAGGTGCTCCTTTAGTTATATTCTGAACTTCTCCATGCAAGTATGTGGGAGTGAGAGAAGAAACTGAAGGCTGGAAAGTCACTCAGTTTTTCGATCATGTCTATACCATACTAGCGAGTTTGTTTGCCCTTCGGGCAAACAAATTCATTATGGTCGCGCCTTCGGCGCTCCATTACCTTGGATATTGATTAATTCTTTAATTTTTTTTCGAAATGGGAAACACGTATTTAAAGTACGTCCCCATTGAAATACGTGAAATATGGGATCGAAAGACTTGATTTTTATCAAACTATTTACTTCTATGATTCTATGTGTGCCTAACTTTAAATCTTTTCTTGTGTCCTTTTTGGCAAGGGTGGAGAATACATTTTGAAAAACTTCCCTCTAATAATTTACGCTAAGGAGACATATTTCAAAAGTAGGATTTTTCCTGTGCTCAGCGATTAAACAGGTACTTCTGAGGGACGTTTAAATTTTCTGTCTCTGATTAGTCGGATCCAAAAAAAATTCAGGAAAATGGGACTTAAAAAAAAAAGCCCTGATGGGTTTTAGCGAAAAATTTTTTTCCCCTGAAATGGAGACTCAGGGAACTCCATGCCACCCAGTTTCAGCCTTATATGTTTCATGCGTTTCCCCGTTTTGAAATAGCGTCAGTCAGTCACAATCGTCTACATTAGAAAAGTATGCTTTTTTCTTTACGCAGCTATCCATCAGGTACTTATTTGCCAAGTTTTAACTTTCACGAGCTCTCTGTTTTGCTGAATCAGAAAATTCGTGAAGATACGCCTTTTGCAAAATATGTGCCCTGAGCAATTTTAACGTACCATTTTTTTCTTACCGAAATCCACCCTCAGTGAACTACATGCCCACAACGTTTCAATATAATACGTTTGCCCTTTCCGCTGGTGAAAAAACATGTTTGGAAAAGCCGACCCACCCTAACGCTATGCCCGGAGGGGATGCACCATGAAAGCTGAATACTCCCTCAGCTCAGTAATATCATGTCACTTATACGTGTGCCAAGTTTCACATTTCCATTTCTGTCCAATTCGCCATAATAATTTCTTTTTCAAAACATCTCACCTCGAAAAAAATTTCCCCAGGCGATTTATCGAGATTCAACATTTTTATTTAACTCCTTGTTTCAGGTGTCACATTCATGCAAAGTTTCAGCTTTCCATTGACATCAGTTTAACTAATGTAAAGAAATTAGTTGAAAACATTTCCCTTTGAAATTTGTGCCCCCAGGGAATTTACTTGCAAAGTCTGAATATTTCTGCATGCAGCATCCCAATAGGTACCATGTACCAAGTTTCATCTTTCCACCCCAGCTCAATAAGCCAGGGCAAAAGAAATTACATGAAAACGTCGACCCCTAAGAATATGCCCCCACAGGGCATAGAAATTCAATTTTATATTTTTCCCGAACTCATCGTCTCGTTTGGCACGTCCATGCCAGGTTTCTGCTTTTCATGTCTCTCCGTTTTCCTCAAGCAGAAATCATGTTATGGAGGGGAAATGAGTAACGGGACATGAAAGGCAAAAAAAGGATAAGGAAAGCCACGGAATAGCCTGGAATTGAACCCGGACTTTCTGATTGACCAGTTAGATATGCTATTACTACACCACCGAACCCCGCACTTCCATTTTATTCTCTGAATGCCATTCTCATCTGTCACAAAATATATTTAAGGAAAACGTTTCTCCCCAAAATATGTGCCCCAGGGCATTTACCTCTAAAGTCGGATTTTTTCGGAACTCTGCATCCCAAAAGGTACATATGTACCAAGTTTCAGTTTTCTAACCCTTCTAGAACATGGTTAGAATCAGCGTCAGTCAATCAGTCAGTCACGATCGTCTATACCCACGTATATATTAGAAAACGCAGTGTAATTCTCAGAATAAGGAAGAAAATTGTTATATTGCGATCGCCGTTAAGGTGAAATTCGCAATTATTCGTTCATGTTACTTTATTACGTGACTGCACGTGCATGGCTACAGGTTTTCCCCCCTCAAATTCCAGGCAGTTTGTAGACTCCGTGGCCCACCCAAATCCTCATGGCTTTGGAGATTTCCAATATTTTGTGGTACCAGATGGACTTAGTGGAAGGAGATGAGGAACATTCTCGTTTCAGAGCCGCGGTGGAAGGAAAAGAACCATCATCTTCGCCATCTATTCAAAAGGAAAAGAAGAAAAAGAAGAATAAGGGAGTATGTCGGCTACTGGCCCGATTCTCAAGCCCCAAGTCTGTTCAACCCCACAAACCGGGAAAACCCGGGTTTGATATTGCATCCGCAGTGAGTGAAATTCTATCCATAAGCAACGAAATGTTCACCCATTTCCGGCTTCTTGTACCATGAGTGGCAACTTAGATGCAATGATTAAGAGACTGCTTTTTACATGGCAAAGGAAATAGATAATGTTACGCCCGAAGCGTCTTCTCTTTGACCTGCGAGTGATGCTTCCAGAGACTGAAGAGATCGGTTCTATTTCAACGACACACTCCTAAATAGGAACATCAATAATATTACTTTTAACCCATGTTTAATTTCTTTTTTTTCAATAGTACCAAGGAGAAACGGATGAGACCAAATATGAGTATCCCAAGGAGCCGAAGACACGCCAAATCAAACCACCTAGTATCAATGTGGCATCAACAAGGCCCACCAAAGAAGTGCACATCAACATTACTGACGTCCTCGATGACGAAGAAAAGTTGTACGCTTTGAGTCTGGCACCGACTCTAAAGAGACTCGATCCTGAAAGCAGGAGAATCGCTAGAATAGAAATAGAGAAATTATTGCTGCAAATTGAATTCGGCAATCACCCTTCCTTGAACACCTGATGATCATTCTATGCCCATATCTTTCTCTACTGCAACCACTTCGTATGAAATTAACGTTCTTTTCTGGCTTGGATGAGGCCCTTCCACAATGTGTAAATGAATGCTCTTTCAGATATTTCTCTTGAGCCACTTGGTTGTTTCAGACGAAGTTCTCAGCACCTTTTTCCCTTCGGTTTTTCAAAAAAAGTGCACTACTTCACACCGCTAACAAGGAATTCGGATGCTTTATAACAATCAGGATTTCCCAAGAGTGTCAACGTAGTACTCCCTAGGTACCTAGTACTTCTCCTTTCCATATCGTCATGCAATAAAGAACTTTATCTTTCACATCGAGAACCTTGGAAGCGGCAGACACTGACCTAAGCCTCAAGTCCTTGTTCCCTCGACAATGCCTATTCCTTCCTTCAATCACTTTAAACGGAATTTCTCGCATCAGTCCTCGTGGTCCTCAGAGGAGGTCGTCCGTGCACGTCTTCCTCTTCTTTCAAGTTCATTTCAGTTATTCTGAAATAATAGCGAAGAGCACGGCAGACCTCCAGGACCATATATCTGATTGGAAAGAAAGTTCTCGGAATTTCTTGTTAGCGGTGTGAAGTAGTGCACTTTTTTTGAAAAACCGAAGGGAAAAAGGTGCTGAGAACTTCGTCTGAAACAACCAAGTGGCTCAAGAGAAATATCTGAAAGAGCATTCATTTACACATTGTGGAAGGGCCTCATCCAAGCCAGAAAAGAACGTTAATTTCATACGAAGTGGTTGCAGTAGAGAAAGATATGGGCATAGAATGATCATCAGGTGTTCAAGGAAGGGTGATTGCCGAATTCAATTTGCAGCAATAATTTCTCTATTTCTATTCTAGCGATTCTCCTGCTTTCAGGATCGAGTCTCTTTAGAGTCGGTGCCAGACTCAAAGCGTACAACTTTTCTTCGTCATCGAGGACGTCAGTAATGTTGATGTGCACTTCTTTGGTGGGCCTTGTTGATGCCACATTGATACTAGGTGGTTTGATTTGGCGTGTCTTCGGCTCCTTGGGATACTCATATTTGGTCTCATCCGTTTCTCCTTGGTACTATTGAAAAAAAAGAAATTAAACATGGGTTAAAAGTAATATTATTGATGTTCCTATTTAGGAGTGTGTCGTTGAAATAGAACCGATCTCTTCAGTCTCTGGAAGCATCACTCGCAGGTCAAAGAGAAGACGCTTCGGGCGTAACATTATCTATTTCCTTTGCCATGTAAAAAGCAGTCTCTTAATCATTGCATCTAAGTTGCCACTCATGGTACAAGAAGCCGGAAATGGGTGAACATTTCGTTGCTTATGGATAGAATTTCACTCACTGCGGATGCAATATCAAACCCGGGTTTTCCCGGTTTGTGGGGTTGAACAGACTTGGGGCTTGAGAATCGGGCCAGTAGCCGACATACTCCCTTATTCTTCTTTTTCTTCTTTTCCTTTTGAATAGATGGCGAAGATGATGGTTCTTTTCCTTCCACCGCGGCTCTGAAACGAGAATGTTCCTCATCTCCTTCCACTAAGTCCATCTGGTACCACAAAATATTGGAAATCTCCAAAGCNATAATTGTTCATGAAATTCCGAGAACTTTCTTTCCAATCAGATATATCTTCTTTGGTATCCTGATCAATTGGACGTTGGAATACTCTCCACCAGTGGCGTGTGGTGGTTTATGATATAGGTCATGCAGATGTTTCTCAATAAAAAAATACAATAAAAAGAATATTTTTCTGCGAGCGCTCATGCTTTTGCAGAGCCATATGTAAGATATTCTAGTCGCATAAGCTTCCTGTATTCCATGTAGACTTTTCACTGGAGAACAAGGTGCAAGGCCAACAAAGTACTGTAGTTGATTCAGTTTAGGGCACCCAGTAACCCACTTCGTTTTTTCATAATTATTGTCTTGAAAGTGCCCGGGTGAAGCCTACCTTCTTTCTCCAAAGATGGAAAAGGAGGGGTTGGCGTCCACGTCTCACAACGTCCAATTTATTTTTAAAAAAAACTCTCCTGGCGAACGGAAGCCTCAGTAAATCTTCAACAATGCTAACCGTTTCGTCACAAATCTTATGAAAGTTAGTCGCGCGAAAAAGAAAGAAAACACTTAAATTGAGCGAAATAGGCTCTTTCAGTGCCGCGCCTGAACTTGCTTCACGTCCCAAGCGCGCTGCATTCCACGCATGCGCAGCTTGGCATGCTGCGTGATGTCAACACGACTCCCCTAACTGAGCCCTCACGTCATCCCCCAAGTGCAGGAGAAGGAAAGCTGGACAGCGAGGTGCATGACTCTAGTCTCGTACAGAGTGCCGTTTTAATATATGCTGCAGAGCATCCCAGTGACTGTAGTCGAGCGCATGATCTAAATGAAACACTCTGATTCGTAGGGAAGTAGTAACGAAATTAATTCCTAATGTGGTATTCATTGGTGACCATTGGTATACACCAGGTTTTCTCGTCCAAACTGGTCATGCAGTGCATGACTTGCATGCTCTAACCGCACGCCACTCCTCTCCACTAGGTAGATGACATACCAAAAATGTTCTCGATGATTCTCTCTTCTCGGAAGAGCCTGTCGTTTATGAATTTCCGCGATCGCCATGATTCCAACCAAAAACAGGTGTATTGAAGCCTTCTAGCAGCAAGCAAGCTTCATCAGTCACATTTGGCAACGGCAGCAACACTTTTTAGGAGTCTATTAAATCCCTGTCGACAGCAGGTCGAACACACCCTCGAAGAGGTTCCCCCATATACTGAAATTGTTTCCGTCGCATTTATCGTCGACTCTTCCTTCCTATCGATTTGAAGTGGCAATCAGTACCCCAGGCAGTCATTATATGCGACTAAAAGTCCAGTTACAAATATAATTTGGAGTCACTGACTTTGTACGGCGCTGTATCGTGGCATGGTTTATCATGATACCATGTATCATGTTAATCCCATGAGCATAGTATCTTTTATTCGGGTTCATGCCAAAACGCCCTTAATATATTCAGAACTAAGCAAACAGAGCGTGAGAAAAATAAAAGGGCATTGACAGCGCACATTCTCATTCAAAAATGGCTCCAGGCAATTTTAAACCTCTTGTTTTTCAAAAGATTCCTAAAGGAAACCCTCCCACCCGTTGAGATGAACCTTTTCAACGCTGTTTGTGATTTTACTGGTTCCCATTGTCGCGTTACCCCCATTGTCGCATTACCTACTTTAATTGTTGCCTTCGCATTTTTAAATAATATGGCTGCGGGAGTCTCCTTAATCACCGGTAGCGTATTTTTAAATTAGAATTAGTGGACACCTGTTTTCCAAATAGCTTTCGCCCAATAAGTTTTTGCAGCTTACCAAGACGATCCCGATTCCTTGTTTCGAGGTGGCATTCGCTTCGCATTATTCGGCCTCATGCTATCATCAGCGAAGCAGGAAGTGTTGCAACTCGGATCCAATTAATCCTGATTGTACAGGTATTTCAGGGCATGACACCCCACTCGGGGACCGATGTTGTTGCGTCCCATTGATGTATTTTCCATTCAGCGAAAACCAGAGCAAAAATATAATACTATTAGAGAATTTGTTTGCCCATCGGGCAAACAATCTCACAAGTAGTGAGTTTGTCACCCATCTGCCTACACTCCTATCCTCACCTATAGCCATGAGTGTTGGGTAATGACCGATAGAGTGCTATCGCGAATGCAAGGGGCTGAGATGAGATTCCTACGAAGGATTGTTGATGTAACGCGACTCGACAGATTTCGGAACAGAGAAATCCGGGAAACACTCGGGTGTGAACCTCTTCCTCTCCAAATTGAGAGATCACAACAACGATGGTACGGGCACATGGTCAAGGTGCCACAAAAGAGACTCGCAAGGCATGTCCTCTCTTCTAAACCAAAGGGAAAAGACACCAATGGGCAAACCTAGGACTAGATGCATTAACTCTTGCAAAAATTCGAGTGGAAAAGGTTAATCCAAGAACACGGCCCAATCCTTCTAGATTAATTTGCAATTAAGAAACTTGAAGTACAATAGCTGGTATAGTCGTGAAACACCGCCCCGTAAAGCAATTTATTCTGCCATAGACTTAACATGGGACGACGTTTCTTCCTGCCTCTTGCCTTAAGCGACACCTATAACTGCTTTTTTCAGTGGTCGATTAGAGGCTACAAGATCATGCCTCTGCACGCACCTCACTCGTCTCGCAAGGCCAGGGACGTGGAATATTGGCAAGAAAAAAAAGAACAGAAAAGCCAGATTCGTGAACCCGCTCTCTTCTCCCTCTGCTCATTTCCCAGCAGTGGCGTGCCGAGAGTTTTTGCAAAATGGGGCGCTTTCAGCCTAATGACCGCTGACCCTCGCTATCATCTCGGTTGCACAGTGACGTAACGAAGGAATGGCTTTTGGGGTCTAAGGGGGTTCCACCTTTCTTTTCCTCTGAAGATGGAGGAAGGAGTGCTGGGCTCATACGTTGGAGCAAAGGAGAGAGGGGGGGAGGACGCGATGGGCCCATGCGCCCATCGGTCGGCACGCTACTGCCTATAACGACAGAACCTATCAAATTATCATTACCTCATTGATCTCCATGACATCTCTCGGAAGTGATTGTACAGTAGAAAATAATCATAATCTTCCTCCCCCCCTTCCCTCTACTGCATGCATGTCATGTTACTGTTGCGACAGCCTTCCTCTCCCTCTCTCTCCCTCTCCCTCTCTTTAAAATTATTTCCGGTGACGCAATGATGAACAAAGAATAACTTTTTAGCCCCAATGTTCATTCTCGTCGGCTTCATTCCAGCATCGATGAACATGAGTGAAAAAAATAAACACTCAGCCATTTAACTTCACACTAACTTGGACATATTGTGGGCCTTCCATCACCCACCCATCCCTTCGGACAGGTGGATCAGCCGTCCCACTTCCGTCAGGATACGCCAATGATTCTCCGGCATAGCGTTCTAGCTCCGCGCTACTCCTTGGTTTGGATCTACGATGGGAATCGCACCAATATTTATGCCAAGCACATCCTTTCTCTGATAAAATTTTGGGGAGAATTCCATTAATTCAATTGCAGAGATCTTCGGTGCGTGTCAACTGGGAGATCTTCATTAGCGGAAGTAAACGGACCCCCGCCGAAGTATAGTGTCAAATTTCGGTGTTCAACGATGTCAGGAGGTAATCTCATGACCTCTCAATATCCCATAGCCTCTGTCACCTACGAGAGGTCACGGTATTCTCGATTACGTGCATGTGACGGACCATTCCGACGTGGAATAAGCATTAAATCGAAGTTACCATAACGTGATATGGCAAAATAGCAATCTTGACTCGATCCAAATCGGTCGGTAGAACGGTTGTGCAATGACACGACTTCTTTCCAGCAGACGATAATCTCTGCGTACACGCTTTTGTGACGTCAAAAAATGTGAACACCCTATTCTTAGCGGAGCATACACACGCATGCACTATGAGGAGTCGAATCAATCCGGTATTTCAAAACGCAATGGCGACAAACACAATCAACTATGGAACCAAGAGGTCATGTTCCCACCTTTTTTTTTCCATTTCCCTCATGTTTTCGTAAAAAAGTGACAGACCAATCACAATGTCTGCCATTTTCTCACAGTACCTATGGGAATGCCAGATAAAAACTTTTTGGAGACATTGCACTTTCCTCTGCCCTAGAATTCAGACATTTTTAGGATCAATTGCATGGGAAAACCATGCAGCACGAGCGCCTCCGCGAAGTCGTAATATTCCGATTTCCATTATTCTTACCTTACTTCGCTGCCAAGTTAATTTATATGTACAGCCTCAATAACGGACCAAAAATATGTGTTGCCACTCTATTGCAATATTGTTAGTAATATTCGAAGGAAGAGCTGGATATGAATGGATATGATATCACCAAGGTCACTCATGAAGATGTGAAAAAGGGGAATCCGAGACAGAGATATTATATCATTTGAATCGAACGCGGCAAGGCCAAGTTCGTAGCACGTCTCTCTCATGGGCGCGGCACGCATGCGCATCCGGGCCCAGGCAGCGAGCGGAGCTCGGGTGGGAGGCAGACAGGACCTTGACCTAGGCGGACCCTGGAGCTAGTCTCGCGTGTATTGTAGCCTCTTCCACGTCCAATGGAAATTCCGTGCCTACGAGTGCACCGTCTATATGGATTTCTGACGAAGTAGCGGCCTGTCAATCGCAAATTTAATGATAAATTTATGTAACTGAATATACTTCCATAAACTTATTTCAGGTAGAAAAGACCACAGGCAAATGGGAACTGGAAGGTAGCATATGAAGAAGTTAAGAGTTAAATGGACTGATTCAACATAAACCATACATTTTTTTAGATAATAAATTCTCTAATGAAAGTTTTGTTGATAGATTGGAGGGATGTGCAAGTTAAAAAAAAGGAGGAAAGGGAAAAAGAGGAAGAAAGGGAAAAAGAGGGGAAAAGGAAAAAAGAGGAAGAAAGAAAAAAAGAGGAAGAAAGAAAAAATGAGGAGAAAAGAAAAAACGAAGAAGAAAGAAAGAAGAAAGAAGAAAGGAAAAAGACAGACAGGGACTATGAAATACGTGCTACAAATACAGGTAAGCACCCGAGATCTTTGAGAATAAACTATATTAGGATAGAACCAGCTAAAATATTTATGTATTATTTTGAAGTCAAATTTTCCCATCTGATTCCTGGAAATCCCTTTAAAATGTTTGGCTCCCCATTGCAAGTGATATATCACCACTTCCCGACTTCCAGAGAAGCTTTAACAAATGTGCGCTTTCGACCTAGGATGGTGCGCTGACGAGAGGATAAAGTCATTTTTGCTGGGTCCTCGAATCAGTCAAAAACTTAAGCTTATCAAACTGGACGTGATCCTGAACTGCCTGCGACAGGAGAAGGTCATCTCACAGGAAGAATTCAACATTGTCAGGCGCAAGTCTAAGGAAGAGAGACATTTATTCCTTGTGGAAAATTTACATTTTGGTTGTGACAGTAATTTCCGAAAGTTCATCGACATCCTTCGCACTTACGGTTCCCAGGAACTTGCTACCGAAATTGAAAAAGGTTTGTTATCTCTCCTTCATGAGGAAGGGTCTATGGCTCTGGATTGGCTTTCCCCTAAGATGCTCATCTACAGGGTGACCCATGAGTATATTTACCGGATTAATTAACCAATGGTTAGATTCCTTTGCTTTCAATAAGCTTTTTCAACAGTGAACATTTACAGCCAAAGGATCTAACAAGCAAATTAT